ATGTATTAATATACCTACACAACAGACCTTCATCTCTACATTTCGCTTCCTTCCCACAATTTACGTTGTGTTTACTTGGATATTTAATGACATTTTGGATCACAAACGCATTTTCTACCTTTTCAAAAAGTTTCATCTCTAAATGCAGTAAGGTGGAAGGCCCAGCACTGCACTCAAACACACCATGAAAATCAAGATCTACAAATAAGGAGCCATTCAAGGTGTGCCAACCCCACTAAAAGCACTGTCATCACCAGGTTCAGCCTGGTCTCACCCAACACTGCTATGCCCCCCATTCCCTGGGGAGGGGCACCATCCTCACAACTGCTCTGCCACAGCAGCAGAGGATTCCAACACAAACCCTTCCTCCTCCCTGTCCCCCTCCCACAGGACAGTGTCCCTTCCTCCCCTCAGCATTTTGGGGAGCTGTGGGGCAAAGAGCAGCACAGGGTGTGAGGAGGAGGTGGATGGGACAGGCAGCAGCACTGGAGCAAGGGAAGGACAGCACCTCCACATCCTGTCCTGCTTACTCTGCACCACAGCAAAAGTGCACAAGGGAGGGGCTTCAACTGCACCTCAAACTGGCTGGAAAAATTAAGGATTAGAAAATTACTAGAGTAAGATTAATAATTTACAGACCACTCACAAGCTCTTCGTTAGAACTGTATTCAAAACACATCTACAGACGTGAGTAGCCCCAGCAGAACTGTACAAACAACATGTAAGTGCTCCACACGTTCACATGAGCAAAAACATTGAATCCCATGTAGACAGGCACACACCCAGCTGGAGAAAGGTCAAGATAAGAACATTTCTTTCAAAAAATTATAACTTAGTTTAAAAGAAAAGCTAGGTAACAGCTAAGTTATGTTACTGCTAAAAATAAAATTTACTGATTTGTGTAAGACTCTCCAATACCAAAAGTTAGCTCTCTCAATTCAAAAAATGGGAGCACAAAGACACATAAAAAGTAGGCAGCCACTGTCAACCGGGACTCAAAGCAATTTTAATTGGTATTTACTGAAGGAATGTGCTCCAAGGTGATACTGTCCCTTCAAAAAAAACCCTAAACAAATATGGACAACATCCTTTCCAATTTGTATTGCACCATTCTGTCTTCCCTCCCTCCAAAATTCCACAGCAGTGCAGTTCCATTCATTGACTTGCTCATCTCAGTTTAAAGGGGAAAAAAGTAATAAACTTTAATTTCTTCCAGCTAAATATTTTGGCAGATATTCTGCACTAAAAACTTACACTGTAATTCAGAGTAAATGTTCAAAGTCACTTCAATCCTTGCTCACTCAAAGCACTGTCATGAACTCTAGCAGTTACTTTATTAAACCTTGTTAACACATATATGACCTTGAAAAAAAAAAAAGTGTACTTTTAGTTTCTTTAGCAAAACTAAAAGTGCATCATAAAAAGGGCAACAGCAGGTCTGCCAAGTCAGCTTTGTTTTAAAGTTGTTTTTTTACAAGAAAAACTATGCTTTTCATGTGTGGAGGAGAAAAATTAAGAGGGTGCTCAAGCAGCTATTTGCAGCTCCGACTGAAGTTTAACTTTTACTGTTCTTAATATGATGTTTATAAACAACCCAAAAGTTTTAGATACTGAGTCATCTCTGGCTTTTGGCTCATCTTAAAGTGCAGGGATTTAACGGAGCCTGAGCATCGTTGCACTCTCCTGGCCCCTCAGTCACCGCTGCAGTGTTTATGCATAAACAGAGGCAGGCAGAGAACAAAGACTGTGCCTTGCAGTCACAAAACTCACTTAGCACTGCATATTTAATTCTGGATCTCTTCCCCTCTGTTTTCCTCCCTTTTTTTTTTTTTTTTTTCTTCTTACTTTTTTTTTTAGCTCTCCATCAGGGCAGCAAACACCCCCAGCCATCCCAAAGGCAGCCCTGGCTGCACAGAGTGCTTTGGAAGAGCCCGGGCTGTATTTCCCCGTCTCCTGATCTGTGGGGTTTCCTTACTGATTCCACTGCTGCCTACTCGTGGTGAATGTGGATTCCCTGATAACACGATGCCCCGGGCAACTGTCCCCTTCTTCGGAGCTCTGTGTTGATGAACTTGCAAGTGACTGCAAGCACTTCCCCACCCTTAGGGGGAGGTGCCCTGCCCTGCCCAAACTGAGCCAGGACACCAGGAAGGGGCTAAAAGAAAGATGGTAAATAAAGCAGGGGGTACAATAACCCTTTGGAAATGAAGGCAAATGAATTTTTAAGTATGAATCCCTTCCATAGAGATTTTCCATTACCAGGAATAAAATTAGTGTCTGGAAAAAAAAAAACAAACAAACCGCAATATAAACCCCAAGGAAACCAAGTATATTCCTTCCTTCCTATCCACTACTATGAGCTCACAAAGACTTTCTTTAGTGAGCACTTGCTTGCTAGAAGTGATGAATATTTCACATGTTCTTTCAAAATAAACATGGAGAATTAATGCAGTATTTATGACACGAAAAAAATTCCAAAATGACTCCTCCAATGACAAGAAAGGAGGATTAAAACACAAGTGTAAAGAGAAAACAAAATATACAGCATAATACTATGTATCACTTTTAGTCTTCTCTATGTGTTCAACCCATTTTCAGCAGGAAACCACTGCTTGTTTTGAGCCTGTACAGAATTTGGGGATATGCTGGTCCTAAGCAGCACAACTAGAAAGAACATGAGCCGTTCAAGTAAATAAACGTGTCTCTATCAAAACTTAAGAGGATTAGAAAAAACACTAACTACATGTATTACTGGAAGAAAATACTACAGACTCCTCCTGAGGAAAGTTAAGAACACCACTTAAAGAAAATACAAAGAAAAAAATGGATATTGTGTTGATATTTTGAGAGCATCACTGGTCAGATGCCCTCAATCACTACCAATCATTAAATCAAGCACTTGAGTTATAATTCAACAGGTAAGACAATACCCCTTCACACGGCAGTCCTAGCAAGAACAGAAGCCAGGTTAGAGTCACAGACCAGAATGTCACATTTTTTAAAATGCCCTAGTAAAGAATTCTGGAAGTTATGTGGCTTTTCTTCAAGTTCACTGCAGCTGTCAGAGCTGTGATGTAACTTCAGATGTCCAAACTCCTTCCTCCCCTCCAAAAACAAAGACCAACCCTACCAACCCCAACCCAAGGAGATGCCTTGAGAGGTACCGTGTCTTGTTCAGCGCATGCAAGTGATCCAACTCTTAGGAAATACACCTCAGCATCACCAAACAAAAACAAATACTGGCAAACACCAAGAACAGCACCTAAAACCAGAGGAAATACTGTGGAATCAGTTCAGCAAAGGAAAAGTCAAACCAGGAATAAACCCAAGTCCAACGGCTGACATGGATACTGTGCACACACCCAGAACCAGCCAAGCCTTTCCACTCGAGGCAAGGGGGAAAAAACTCTTCTGAAGGCTTTCTGGAAAGGAGAGGAACAGCAGCATCATATTACATAGCAACCTGCTGGGCCATCAAATCCCAAACAGAGGCAAGATCGAGTCCAGAGGAAAACCTCAAGACGCAGCTCTGAACCCCAAGTGCAGACAGACACCCAGCACAACCTGTGTGGCTGTGACCAAAACAAACACGTTCTGCACCCTTTGACAGAGCAGGTGCCACTCCAACAACACTCTACACACTGAACAGCTCATTTCCAAACACCCCTCGTTTTGCATCCTACCATCAACTGCATAAACCAGAATGAGCAAATGCTCCGAGTTTGAGCTACACCTACGCACTGTGGGACAAGAGCAGCACTAATTAAAAGCATACCCACAACATAATGAAAATGCTCATGTTTTTAATGGATTAATGTACTTACTGCAAGAACAAAAAACACTTGCTAATGTTGTACAACCACAGTTACTGTCAGCATACAGGTTTGCACTACTGCTCCCACATGAAGAGACAGACGCCCTTGAGGCTGGGCATACCTGCAAGTCACATAAGGTTATTTGCTCCTTACTTCATCTTAACTTTGGTTTGTCTCACCAAAGTTTCTGTCATGTGTAAAAGTGACAACAAAACTGGTAAGATATTGGGATGTTTTCAAGTAAAATTACACTACAGATCATTCAAAATTTATCAAATCCACCATGCCCAGTAATTTCTGAAATTTCAGTGTAGTAAGACAACACTAAACTATATTACATTTAGCTGGTAAAAGAGTTCAACAAAGTTTAACATACGTTTTTTCTCATTTTCCTTACCTTCATCTTATCACATACCATCCATTTCACTTGCACCACCCCACCCTCCAACATGTTACTTTGCAACAATACAATTAACAACTTATTTCTATTCAAAATATTCTAAAGATTAACTGAAAGATGCAATATCAATGTGCTACCTGTTACTTCTTTTTTAAAAAAATCAGCCATGAGTGTAGCAAGTCTGTGTTTTGTTATAAAACCTAAGACATTTCCATTTGAAACGCCAGCCTTTTGTTATCATAGGGGATAGCCATCTTAAAAGAGTGTGGAAGGAACATGTTACCATGTGAAACTGGAGGTTGTGGTAAATACACAGAATTTTCAGTTTCAGCTGAGGTGTTGTAAAGTTTAATAGAAGAAAGGAAATCAAAACTACATTAAAGTAAGCATAAAAATTTCCACTTTTGTTAACTCGGCTTGCATTATAACATTGACTTCTCACATAAAATTTCAGATGCCGTAAAACCTGTATGCTAAAAACATTTGCCTGTTACCTCTGGAAGTATGAAACTAGGAACAGAGAAAATTAAAGGGACCCTTCGAGGCGATGGAAAGCAAACTTTTGGAATGCAGAGTTGTGCAGAAGGGTTCAAATATGTCTACAACATGCTGGAGAGAGAGAGAGGAGCGAAAGGACATGTTCTGTGCTTTTAAAATTAGCTAATCTGCTGAATAGCTGGAAAGCGCCGCTACCCAGCCTTTAACCCTTGGGCTTCCTGGGCTGTATGACACGAAAATGCTGCTCAAAACGGTAGGGGATAAATATCAAAGCAATCATCGGTTACCTTTAAAACTCTTTGCTTCCTCCTCTGAGGCCTTTTGTTTTCTGTTAGAACCTAAAAAAACATCAAATTGCAGAACATAAGTTGTGGTCACAAAGGCAGGCAAGACACCTCCGCTTTTTTTATTAAGGAGCAGCGGTATTTCTGCAGTACCCGGAGTGCTTTACACGCGGCCCCCGCTCGGGCCGGCGGCGGCTCCCGGCGGCCCGTCCGCCGCCCCCGCGGCGCCCTCACATCGCGGGCGCCCCGCGCTGCCCCTCACGGCGCCGGCCCGGCCCCGCCATCTTTGCTTCCTGCCGCAGCGGCGGCCGCGCGCCTCGTGCGGCCCCGCGGGAGCGCGCGCCCCGCAGCGCCCCCCCGCGGCCGCGCGCGCCCACAAAGGCGCTCCCGCCAGACCGCGCGGGACCCGCCGCGCGCCGCGGGGGCGGAGCCGGGGCCGCCCCCCACCATCCCTCCCCGCGCGCGCGGCCCGGGCCGCGCGGGGCCTCCCGCCCCGGGCAGCGCGGCCGGCCCGGGGTCAGGCGGGGACACGGCCGCGCGCACCCGCACGCGCGGCTCCGGGAGCGCGCACGCCGCCGTGCTCCGGGCCGCGCTCCCGCACGGAGCGTCCCGCGAGCGGGAGGAGCCGGCGCTCACCTGGGCGAGCGGCTGCCAAGGAACGCCTTGGCCCGCTGCCCCGGGCCCGGGCAACCGCGACAGTGCCAGCCCGGAGCCCCGGACCGCCTGCACGGCCCCCAGGACAGACACGGCTCCGACAGGACCGAGCTGCTGCAGAGGCATCACAGCGGGAAATGCCCACCAGAGAAACACCAAGGGCCATTATTTTCCCACCGCTCCACGTTAACAAGGATAGAGGGAGGGCGGACGGGTCACACCGAGCCCTCCCGGATCGCAGACGTTCGCTAACTAGGGACAACAAACAAATCCCAGCGTATCTAACGCTGCAGCTACTGAGGCATTCACTGAAACCATCTGCAGTTGACATCTAAACCAGAACGCTGGCCATGCAGCTGTACACTAAACAAAAGGGAAAAAAAACCACAAACAAAACAACAAAAAAACAAACCAACCCAATAAGAACATCTTTTCATCAGCTACAGACTGCAATCTGAACCTGTTCTCTGCCTCTGCTGCTGAGTTGCAATGCACTCCCTGGCCGGTCTGTGGTGCAGATCCCAGGCAGGGACACACAGCTCCTCCTGCAGAGGATCAGTTCAGACAAAACCGCTGCCCATCTCTGTCGTCTGATGCTACCCAATATCTAAGCTCCTCATTTGTTGCACCAGAGTGATGCAGTTAGGATTTAGGATCAGCTAAAATACAAGTACTGATTTGTAATTTTTTCCCCAAGTTTGCAAGGGTCCTTATGCATAATAAAAAAAGAACACACAGTGAGCTGATTCTTCTTTGCAGTTTTGGCTTCTCAAGTTGTTTTAGAGTCCAGAAAAAAAATCTTTTTTTTTTTTTTTTTTTTTAGAAACCTAAGACCTGGTATTCTGATTTAGTCCCCAGTTTAGTGTGTGCACTAGACAGTGGTTTCAGGCCTCCTTGTGGAGTACTCAAGTACTTTCCCTTGTGTTAGGATGGATCCTCATAACACAAGGAAAGAAAGAAGCCTCTTCAAATAAAAACTTCCCCATAAAAGCTTTAAAGACCAGCACAGAAAGTAAGGAGCGGTGAAGAGGGAACTTGTTAAATACAGCCTCCAAAAATAACTAGAGCACAAACTAATCCATCTCACTGTAATTTAGGCTGCATTAGAGTCCACACCCAGTATCACGGAATACCAAAGTAGCACAAGTCAATTATTTTCCACCCCCACAGCGTGTGTGTAAAACAGGAGTAAACTGCCCTGCTGCAAGCTCCCTGCCCTGGCCCCTGCGCAGCTCTGCTCATCACACACCTCCAACTCCCCCAGCTGGTGCTTCCCCCTTCAACTCAAGAGCCACACTCCAGGAGTGTTTCTATGCACTCATTTTAAAATTCAAGTGGCTTCCATATTTCTGGAGTCTATTGTAAAATAAATACCACAAAGTCTAAATTTCTTCATTATAGCTAGGCCTGGCTGAAAAACAAGAATTCCATTTTGCTTTTTGATTTTTGTTTGTTTGGGTTTTGGGGGTTTTTTTTCTAGATTTCAACAGTTAGTTGTGTTCCAAAGCAGAGCAAAACCCTTAAAAAAAAAAAATCAAGAGCAGACAGATGGAATGTGGGAGACCAAAGTTCAAGCCCCTGTTCTGCATCAGGCAAAAAGCCCTTACCACCAAGCTGTTCTAATAACTCTCCTCCCCTTTTTAAGTTTTAAGCAGGAATTTCATTTGGAACCTTGGGAAGCTTCCCCCAAAGATCGCTGCATGGGGACAGATAGTAGCCGTGAAAGCTTCCTGTTAAATCAGCATTTTCCATTCAAGGAATGGCTGACTGGAAAGTTCCCAACCAACTTGAATTGCAGCATCCTTTTTAAATATGTCTGGGTTTGGGCAGCGTGTTAAAAACCCACAAGCAGGCAGGCCCTTATTGTTATTTAATATCCCATGTTACTCAGATTACAGCTATTAAATAAGATGTCTGGAGACACCTTGGGCAACCCAGCAAACTCACACTCAGGGGCCTGATGCTTTTTTGTCCGTTTGTTGACTACAGGTCCCACTAAATCCAACAATTACCTCACACAAACTGAAGCTCCCCCCAACACGTGCTCTCAGCCCTGCTTACATTTACTAGGCTGCTCTTTCAAAAAGTTTCAATAAGCAAAAAAATAATGTTTTACCTCCTATATTTCGGGGGTTTTCTTTACCAACTCCTCCCCAAACAGCCCCGGTGCAAACCCCTCAGGAAGAAGGGGCATTCCATGGAACAATATTGCCACACACAGGGGCTGGGAACTGGAGCCCACAATACTTGATCCAAACTTTCATGATGTCACGTCCCTGCAAAACCCATTACAATCAGGAAGGTAAAATATCACTGAAGGTTTACGGGGATGTTATTTTTAAGTGATATTTTTCAAGTCCAATACAGTTTTCAAATCTTCATCTGGATTATGTGTGAATTAATGGAAATACCAGTCACCTAATAGGAGCTCCAAACACAACTGATACTCTCTGAGGGTGGAGTGCCTGTGCACACACAGGCAGGGGGGTTGGAATACACCCTTCAGTTTGCAGGCACAGCTCTTACCAGCCAGCCCTTACTCCCTAGAACTGTAAATCCATGGAAGTCCTCAAGGAAAAGCAACACTTTCATAAGTAGCACGTGTGCATTGCCAACCTCTGCACTGGCTATATAGCCATTTAATGCAGAGCTCTCACTGACTTCACTGGGACTTGTGCATTTTTTAGTTAGAATGAGAAGAGATAATTCCCTTTAAGGCAAAACACCAACATTTAAACTATGCTCACGCAGAGCATGTCCATCCCCTACACTCTCCTCCCAGTGAATCACCTCCAAAAAATGCTCACATTCCACCACCATGAGAAAGATGCATGACTCTCCTGAGCAAGGAACACACTGAAGCCAACCCCACTTCTCTGGATTATTTACGTTCACTTTCTATACCATGGACAGAGACCCACAGTTTGGGGTTTTCCCCAGCCGCCTTCATTACTGTCACACAAGTCCCAGTGCTACCAGTTTGGGAAAACACAATGGGATTCCCTGCAATCTTATCTAAAGGACAGCTGCTGAACAGAGTACCAGAGTGTTCCCCATCCCCCAGCACCTCCCCGTGGATCTCAACATCTTTAAAGAGCTCACGTAACATCGTAGAAATACTTTGCTCTCATTTTCTCAGAGCACAGTTTCTGGAGTTTAGAAATGAGGCAAAGCTTCTTTCTAGGAATATCTGCAAAGGCAGCAGGTTTCACTCAAATAGAGTTTTATAAGAAAATACCTGACATGTTCTTAAATGTCAGGAATAGTTCATTTCCTCCATGCAGTTCCCTGAAACTTCATACAAGATTTAACGAGAAAGGGAGGCCTCTGGTGCAGCTCTGCATGCACTGTACAGAATGTGACCAGTCCAATAAAATAAAAGCACATCAAAATAAAAGCTGCCAAAGAAAAGAATAAAAACAAGGAATCTGTCATAAAGAAAGCAAAAGGAGTGCCCGGAGAGGACAAAGGTGAAGGGGCAAAGCTAATCTGCAAGGAGAAGGTCAGCCTGAGCAACAAGAAAAGAAGTATGTTTAGCCTGGAAAACAAAGGTTGACAGAAAAGCTGGAGTGCTTCCTTTCAACAACCCCGCCAAAACCCTTTTTAAAACATGGCTTTTAGAACACTTCCTACCTCAGCTCCACCAATTCCCTCCCATGAGCTTCTTCAGTCCTACTGACTAAATATACGAAAGGACATAATGTCACTCCTCCTTTGCTGTAAAAAGTCAGGCTAAGTCTCTACCACCTTCATTGTTTTAATATCTATCAAGTCACACAGCTGTCCCTCCCCTCCCCTGCCTTCTTTTTTTTTAAGAGCATTTAGGAGCAGTTGAGACAGAGAGAGGTTTTTGAATGAATTCTGAGCCAAGCTGTTTAAGCCTACTTCCCTAAACACTACATCCTAAAATATACTTCCCCCACAAAGAGGAATGTACCATATCCCTTCACTGCTGTGGGGCTCTTCTTTCTGCTTGCCTGCCTTAAAACCAGAACAGCCAACCCTGGTAAGCACAGGCCAGAGCAGAGAGACCAGGAGCTCTCCTGAGATCTCTGCAGCTGATGGGAATTCCTACCTGCTCCAAGAACACACCACTTTAATGGAATTGCTACCGAGAAAGGTCTGGCAGGTGCATTCTCCCCAGTGTGGGCTGCTCCACTCACAGTACATGCTGGTGCAGAGACTTGAACCTCAGTTTCCCACATCCCAAGGCAAATGTCCCAGTGATTTAACTCCCAAGACAGCCTCTCCCCCTCTGAGGTTCAGGTAGGATTGGATCACATGAAGCAGAACACTTGCAGCAGGACCTGGCGGTGCAGAGGCCAACACTGCCAACAGTGAGCTCAGAGCTCGGGGAATCCAGTTGGGATGTGGGAAATCTACGTTCAACTCCCTACTTACCTGATTTAAAGCCTGATCTTGAACTGAAATCCCTCAGAAGGTCAGTGCTGTTATCACAAGGGCATACAGACTGTCTTTTCCCCTCCTCTTTGTTCCAAAAGTAATGACCTGGGTTATAAAAGGCTGATGGATCAGAAAAATGGGTAAGAAACACAGAGAAAGAGAGTATGTATGGGGCATGTGGTAGAAGACAAAGGGAGAGAGGCAGGAGAAGTGAAATGAGAGAAACAGAAGAACAGACCATTAGAAAGGCAGAAAGTTGCGAAAGGGGAAAATGCAGCTACAATTTCATCCTGAAGTTTACAAATTTAATTCCATCAAATCTGTCATCACAAGCAGATTATTTCAACTGAAGCAAAGAGCAAACAGCCTGCCTTCCTTTGCTTTTTAGCCTGAAGTATTTTGAAATACCGCCACTCTCTCTAGTAATTCAGTCTCCTAGGACTCCCCTCAATCTCCCTCCTCCCCACACTTTGCACTCAAATCTCTCATCTCTTCATGCCCTCCAATTAATTCATTATTTGGCCAACATGCCAGTATCCTGAACACAGAGCTAAAGCCATACTTACCTCTGATTCTATGGATCTACAAAGCAGGAACAAGAATAACTCCAGCTCACCCTAAGCTACACCTCTCCAGATGACAAGGGGAAGTTGCTGTACAACCTGTTGGCTCCAACAGTAACCCTGAACCCTCTAGGGCTGCACAGTGGGGACGGCATTTCCCAGGGCAGAACGTGAAGGTGAACCTCAAGCCTCCAAAGAGCGCCTTGAGTCGCCACTCCCCCGGCTCACCTCGAAAGGCAGCGCGACCGGCGGCGGCGGCGGCTTTTTCAGTTCTTCACATTTTCTCTTCTTACATATCCGGTGGCTGGTTTTGCGCTTCCTGCAGCAGCTGCACTCCTCACAGTTGGTCTTGCGCAGGCACGGCTCGCACACTCCACAGCGCCTTCGCTTCTTCTTCTCCAGCATAGGCAGCAGAGATGAATATGGAACAGGGCAACCACCAGCTGGATTTTTAAGAGAGGATGGCCCCGAGGCCTCAACTGCTTCAGTGCTGTTGCTCACGTTGTCCTGAACCAGATTCAGGCTTACTCCAACACTTCCCAGCTGTGATGAATAATCATTATGCTGCAGTCTTGAGTCAGCTGGCAAATCTGCATTTATGGCTTTTTCTGAGGCAAGAGCAGAGATTTCCAGCCTTGAAGGCAACTCCGAAACAAAACCTTCACAGAACTGTCCGGAGCTTTCACCAGGTATTTTATTGACCGTGCTTTTTTCTAAATCTGAAGATAAAGTGGGGACATAACATGAATTCAAAATTAATGTCTCTGCATCAATACATTTAACAAGCTGTTCTATGTCCTCCACTTCAATATTGTTTAAAGAGGTGTTGGAGACTGATTCACATATTGTAAATACGTTTTTTGTGTCAAACTCTGACTTTTCTCTTGTACAGCTCAAATGTGAATTTGGGTCAAATTCTTTGGGAATAGGTACAAAATCCACAACCAGTCTCATGGGGGATTCCGCAAGTGAGCTTCCACCTCCAAAATGTAAAAGCAAATTTGATTCAGTGGCAGCTACAGAGCTGGAATTTGAACCAATGTCTTTATTCTCAGATTCTAAACCCCAGCCTGCCTTCAAGCAGGACTCTGCAAGCGACCTTGCATCTTCTAGTAAATCTTGTGAGTTAAACTCCGAGGTAACTATAGCTGCAGAATTGGAGCCTTGTTCTTCACTAGGTAGCACCAGGTTCAACTGTGCTTCAATGTGGCATGTGGCAAGAGTGACTGACTCTTGTGCCAGTACTGCTGAGCTGAGGTCTGAGGTATCAGCAGAGCTGGGGTCAGGCTCTTCACTGCTGGGCACCACATCGAAGGGAGTCAACCCACACACCTCAGGTTCAGAGGTGATTATGGAGTCGGAAGGAAAAGTTGGAAGCACAAACACAGTACCATCAACAAATGCTTCAGCCAAACTACCCATGTCAAGAGCACTGGGTATCTGCTCACAGGGCAGGCCTTCAAGCCTAGGTATCACCCCTGATGCTTCCGTACCATCAGTTACCCAACCGTCTGGAGCAGAGTCATTTGTTTCGGGTATTTCTACCTCCTTGTCCTGACTGGCACACGGGACAGCAGGCCCGTCACCTGCACTCCAGGGAGAACCTTCTACTGGCAGAGCAGCCAACTCATCTTGTGCTAAATCTTCTTTCAAAACCACTTCGCATGTTTCATTGTTTTTCTCTTCTACTCCTGCCAGGTCTCCTTGCTCATGGTTTTCCTTTGTTTCCAGCCCTTTCTGGACTGCAGATTTCTTGGGTTTTGCGATCACTGGAGTTTGGGACAATCTATGGGAGAAGGGTCGGTTACGGAGGGACATTGTAAAGCCATTGATGTCGAAAGAATCCTGGCTGTCAAAGAGGATATTGTCAGCTTTCTCCAAACTCACCCAAGACGCTCCAGACAAGGTTCTGGTTACACTGCTCCTGAGAAGTCTACCTGAAGAGCTCATGATTGGTTTATTTTCTTGCTGTTTTTTCTTAACATCTTTTTCTTGCGCCGGCTTTTTGCCTTTTCCAGAACTGACAGCTTTCGTGGAAGTCTTTGAGGTTTTCTTTCTCACTTGGCTAGATTTCTTTTTGCCCTGATTAGTTTTCCTTTTGCCCAGCTCTTCTTTTTTGACTGATCTGGAAGGCCTCGCGTGGTGAGCCATGTCTGGGGAGCAGTAGGAATGTTAAGGGGAGAAACGGAAGAAGAATCATGAGCTCTTGAGAGACCTTTTCAACAGAAAACTGCACTCTCCCATTGCTGCTCTCTGTGCTGATACAGCACCAACTCTGAAACAGAAAAAGAGAGAAAACAGCATTAATATGATTGTATTTAATAAAAGGTGCACATATATTACATTGGTCATTTTAAAAATAGAGAGGGAGAATCAGAAATATCAGTATTGGACGTTATGTTCAATTCACACAAAAGCTCTGAAGATATTAGTATACTGCAAAGGCCTTTAACACACAGAAATAAATGGAGCTCAAATGACCAAGCAGCAACACATTTACTGCTTTATGACAGTTCTAAGTTCTCAAGTTCATTAACAGTTCATTAACTACCCCTGCCCTTGACTCTGCTACATTGCTATGACCAAATTATTTACCTTCAAAAAATCCACCACACATCTGTCCCAAGCTTTTGCCCCCAAACATAACTGCAATGCACAAGTCCCCCAGTTCCCCAAATACAACTAAATCATCTCAGAAGATACAGCAGTCCTTGCCCTCCAAATCACTTTCCTTCAAGGTGGGTTGGGTTGGTTTTTTTAAAGTAAAGTAATTCTCATAAGTACACATTTTAAAGCACGTGGTGCCTTTTAAGTACCTGTGGAAGGCTTTGAAAGCTTTATTAGCTGTTGGAATAGACCAGATAGGTAGACAAGGGCAGCCTAAAAATGGGAGCCAGCAGAGCCAGAGGCTCTCTAGTCTCAGGCAGAAGGGTGCCTTCCCTTTGCTAACATTCCTTTGAATCCCTTATGCCCAAATCAAAGAGCCCTGCACCCAGAGAAGCTCACTGTCCTGCTAAGGGGATGGGCTGCGCTGGCACAGCCAACACACAGGGCCACCAGCTCTCTTAAGCAAGCTTGTTGCTGGCTGTCCCAGCCCTGAGCAAGCTGCCCACCCGCCACACGGTGTTATCCACAGATCAGATGAAAGTGATTACTGAGACAGCAGGTTTTTCACACAGATACCATTTCAGAGCCATTTCATTGCTGTTCAAGGCAAGGCTAAACACACTTGTAAGGTCAGATTAGAAAACAATGCCCACCAAACACACAATAGACAAGCTGGACAGCAGCCCTCCTCCATCACAGCAAAACATCCAACCTGGAGAGATCAAGGAGACATATGCAGTTGTTTATGGTTGTGGGCAAAGGTTCAGAGGTCACAGAAGAGACCTGAACAGCTCCCACAGAAGCACTCTATAAAAGTTGGGTCAGATACTGACACAGTAAATCAAATCCAACACTGCACTGCAGGTGATCTGAGTACTCTCCTTCCCCTTCCCTTCTCTGGAGACACATGGGGGAAGGGGGACATGGCCATTACTGGCCATCCATGAATCAAAAAGGGCATCAGCAGCTTCATGAAATACTTGGTGGCAGCTCCAAAAAGCCTCCCCAGTATCTTGTGGTCTCCTCGTTCCAAAGGATGGCCTGGAGGGCTACACAAGCAGCATCTGTGGCTGAGCTACACAACAGTGGCAGGTCAGGAAACCCACCACAAGAGCAAGGAAACAACAACAAAGGCCAGGCAACAGGGGAATGTGTGAATCAGGAGGGGGACTGAAGAGATAACGGCTTTTGTCTTTATCAGCCCTGGAGCAGGAGGAGGATGACCAAAGAATACAGGAGGGCTGGAATGGAAACAGCAACTGGATTTTTGAGAATACTGAATGCATATAATGCCTTGCTTATATTGCTTCTCTGCATAAGCAGTTGTTGCTGCTGTTGTGGAAACATGACCATCAAAATTATCAACCAGAAGCTTAATTTATAACAATCTGGTGGGTTTTAAAAATTATTACAAGTACATGATAGTATGTCTTTAACTGCATTTGGACAGTGATAGGACAAGGGGGAATGGCTTCAAGCTGAAGGAGTGCAGGTTTAGATGAGATATTGGGAAGAAATTCCTCCCTATGAGGGTGGGGAAGCCCTGGCACAGGTTGCCCAGAGAAGCTGTGGCTGCACCATCCCTGGAAGTGTCCAAGGCCAGCCTGGATGGGGCTTGGAACAACCTGGGCTAGTGGAAGGTGTCCCTGCCCATGGCAGGAGGTTGGAACACATCAACCTTCAAGATCCCTTCTGACCCAAACCATTCCATGAGTGCATGACTTGAGAGTTGCAAAATGGTTGCTTCAGGACTGAAGTAGCAAGATCATCCTGGGCTTTTTGGTTTGGTTGTTTTTGATTCAGTGGTTTGTTGTTTTTTTGTTTGTTTGTTTGTTTTAACACAGAGAAACACACCTGTCTGGCAAGAGTGTAGAAAACTAACATCACCAAAGCATTGCTTCTTTACTGGGCCAAAATCAGATGCTATCAGAGTGGATGAAGATTCCCCTTTTGCTTGCTAAGCAAAGAATGCTGGTATTTGTAGGAAATTGCCTGGCTGTGTTATAATAGATGGCAAAGGTTTTGTCACATTAAGAGATGACAATACAGGGGCACAGTGCTAACAGTTTTATGCATTTTGTTTTAATTTTGTCACTGGAGTGACTTCAGGTTTTTCAGAAGAGACCTGAACAGACCCCTAAAAGACTTTTTTAATATTAGTGGTGGGGGGGGGCTGTCTTTTTTTTCCTTCTATTAGTACTTGACTTCAGCTATATTTGTCTGGGACTCCGAGCACTCACCCCCAAGGTGACTGCCAGCTCCTGGGAGAAATGCCTGTCAGCAAAAGATCTCTGTTCCCCTTTAAAAAAGCTCATGGTCTTGATGAAAACTAGTCTGCCACAACCACCTTAACAGCTAGACAAAAGCAGTCTAACATCATTTAAATAACTTGTCTAATAAAAGTAAGTTACACTGCTATTTCTTTGTTTACTCTTCCACAACCAGGACCAAATTATTAGGTCAACACAAGCTTGGTATTCAAGTTTTGTTTTCTGCTACGCTAGGAAATATTCTACCTTCCCTTGTTCAAACTACTGTGTTGATATCTGCAGCAGTTACAAATTGTCTCATGTGACTTCTTAAGGACAACAAATGGCTTTATTTACGTATCAGCCATATTCCATAGCAAGGAATTAATTATATTCCCAAAATATCTATGTGGATGGAACAGGATTATAAAACATGAAGTTCATGGCTGGCATTTTTCTGTCATCTTGGAAGAGAACAAACTGCCTTGGATGCTTTCTCCTGCCAGCCAAAGCAGGTGGCCCTGCCGTGCCCTCCCTGAGAGGGGACACAGGCAGCTCTAGGAGGGGTGACAGGTCCGGGGGGTCTGCAGGAACTGCCCCAGATAACACCAGGGCATCCCAAAGCTGCTTGTTACTTGAGCCCACTTAGCTCCTCTAATTCATGTGCAAAGCTGAAATGAAAGCTGGTTTTAAGGCCAGTTGCTTGAGTTTTGCTCCTTCACGGTAATAAATGTGGAACGATTCCACTGACTGCTATAATCCTCAACAAATACTGCTAAAAAGCTAATCAAAGGCTAAATCTTTTAGTCTTGGTTTTGGTCACAATTCCAAACAATTATAATGAGAATTTTGTCTACAAAGTAATTAGGGAATTTAACTTCATACTGCTGGAATGGCTCTAGGAAAAAAAAACACAAACAAACAAAAAAACCCAAAAAACAAACAAACAAAAACACCACTAAAATCTTTCCCTTTACACAAAGGAATAAAAGAACAATAAAGCAAGTTTTTATTCTAGAGGCAATGTCAACCAAGATTCTATTATGTAACTTGATTCTTAACAGAAGATGAGAGGGGGTTAAAAGATAAAAGATGTGTCCTCATAAAAAATGGTAGGAGCTTTTTTTATGGTATCATAAAAGATGGCAGGTGACCCCTGAACAAACAGCACTGCATGGGGAAACAGTGACACAGCCAGCAGGCTCTAGTTTCACTGGTCACCTGGCTTCACTACAGTCAGATGCACTCATTACATACATTTTGTTTCAGTGTTTAGGTATCTTTCTAAAAGTCCCCTGAAACTGGGCCTTCGGGGAAACAAGACCCTAAGTTTTCAAAAAAGCCATAATACACAGGTCACAGGCAATAAGGGCCACAATGTGATTAGAAGTTCTCCACGAGCTCAGATCTACAGCTTAGAATTGAGAAGCACCTCATCTTCTGGCAGTAAATGCTCTAGAGGAAGAAGCAAAAGATACCAGAGAAGAGAGTCATTAAAAACATCTGCCCCTCATGTTAGGTGCAAAAGCTTTATTCAGTCTTTCAGGATCATGTCCTATCACCTGCATGTTCTTCCCAGCTGCACCAAAGCCAGCCTTCTTTTCCATTGAGCCCAGTTCCCTGCACCTACTCATTGCTCTGTGCAACACTTTGTATGTGAAAAGGGAAACGGGTTAGGAGAAGAGAATTAGCTTTAGTTTTCCCTTTCCCCCTTCTTTAATCCTTGAATACTCATTTGGTTTTGGCTAAGAAATAAAAATGAAACTTCTCATCTGCCATTTCAGTACCATGAGTTATTTCATACACAGTTCTTCCACAGAGGCCTCCCCATCCATTTTACTACAGAAAGGTTTGCTGCTTTCCCTTACAGGACTGTGCCACTATTAAGGCAACCAGATATATTTCATCCACATATATTAAACCTTTACTTAAGCCAACACTTTCCAGCAGCATAACTACAGACGTGGGACAGGCACTGCAGGATGCCCCCTCAGCTTCTCACAGACAAAGGCACACAACCTTTCCTCACTGACATCAGCACCACAGGATGATGCTGAGCAGACCAAGCACCACGGCCTTCATCCTAAATGTTTGTCCTCTCTGGCCGTGAAGGTCTCCCCGTGCCCGGAGGACAAGGCAGGGCCCCTCCCTGATGTAAATCCAGCAAGAGATGGCCCGGTTAGCATTCTGCAGTGTCATGACTTCATGCACCTTGGAGCCTGCACACTGAGTCACACAGATAAAAAAATACCATACCACAAAAAAAGAGCCCTCCTGGTTTAGGGAAGGCTCTATTGGAACACTTAGAAAAAAAGAAAGAAGAAGTGTGGCAAGGAAGCACACACACTTAAACCACAAAATCAGATTAAGCCTCAGACAAACAACTCGCACCAAATACCCATTGTGAAGACTCACGCCACATGTGCAGCCAGGCAGGAGCACGGGCTTGCTTTAACCTCTGTGCAGTTGCAGCCAAAGGGAACACTAAAGAGTGAAGAGAGATAAAGTCAGTTTTAAAGCCTCACCAAAAGAAAGCTCCTTCCACCAGAACACCAGGTACTTTTGAATACAAAAAAACACAAGCAAGCAAAACAAACAGAACACCCTGGCTAGTCATATGCCTCTCCAATTCCACATTTATGCTGTTTAAAGCACTGCATTTCTTTTTGATATTATGGCTTCATTCTTCGGGGGGGTTGCCTTTTCTTTAAAAAAAAAAAAAAATCAGCACCACTAACTGAATCACCTTATCTCAAACTCAGTTAAAAGAAGGGGGAGGTGGAAGGAAGAACCTTCAGGCAAAGATTAAGCCTGGAAAATTTCAGCCTGAAAGGTGTTTTGAAATTTTAAGCATCTGAAAACAGAAAGCAGGATGGAAGTGCTTAGGCCAGCTTTAACAGCCAGGGTCCCATGCCAGTCATAATAAAACACTATCAGTGGGGATTTTGAATTACTACACAGGGAAAAATTAGGTCTTACAAAAACCATAAATATCAAAGTTCATTGGTACATCTCACCTTGAATTCTTCCCCTATTACCTGCTTTGTGCAACCCAGCCTGCCCTTGTTTCCTGAAAACAAACCTCTCTTGTCCAGAGGGACTGAGCCTCATCCCAAGAGCAACCCCCCCTCCCCCTCCCAATCACCTTGTGCTGCTGGAGAAACGGTCTCTGAAAAGTATAAACCAGACTTCTTCTCCTTTACAGTTCGGGTACACCAGGCAACTTGCCCCATTTGGGCCAGACCAAGACTAAACACGAAGTTTTCCCAATTCCCAGAACAGAATAACCTTCTCCATAAGAGTACCTTAAAAAGCACTGAGCGCAGCTGGGAAAAACTATTATTAATTGGAAATAATAAAGGCCTTTTTATTATTATTATTTTCACAAGTTTTTCTATTGTCTCTTAATTTTAAAGAGACCTTTACCCTAGAAGTCGGCTCGGTCATGTTTAAATACCTAACACTGCAATCTTTGCCCACTTCTGACATCACTGTATTATAGTTTCTAGAACAAGAGCCCTTCGGCCCCATCCACGCTGGTGCAGCCACCGTGGCCCGTTTGCCTTCCTCACTCCAGGGTATGCACCGACATCGATGCGCTCGTGCCTTGCTCCAGATGCCCATCGCACATCCCCCTCTCCCCCTTAAAGGAATACCGTCTCACCACCCTGGGCAGCTGCTATACAGGCCGTGATACAAGTGATGCGGACTACGTTGCTCTTTAAGTATCTTTGGGGGGCAGCACGATAGGCTGGCTGAGTGTAGGACAGGCTGGGCACACGATTGGCGCGACTCCTTTGAGTGCTGCTGCGCCTGGTCTCTCCGCAAAGGCAGCCCGTGCCAGTGCCCGGGCACCCCCAGCCACACCTTGGTAAGGTCCGCTGCTCCTGCCTCCCAGCAGCCGCTTCGGCCCTTCTCCTCACCCCTTCGGCGACCCACACCCTTCTCCCCTGGCTCCATCACGGGCACGGCAGGGATCATCCCCGCAGCACCAAACCTCCAGCTGGCATAAGACCACCATCTCTTCTCCTCCAGCTGCAAGAGCAGCCGGACGGGTGCTCAGCGCCCAGAAGCACTCGGGAGGCTACGGCCCCGCTGGGCTGCGGTCCCTTTAGTGCAGGCAGGAGGACCCCAAGGAGAGAAGGGAAGGGGCAGGCAGGGCCCTCCTGGGTGCGAGGCAGCGGCTCCTCGTGGCCCGGCCCCGCCGCTGGCCGTGCCCCCCCAGCCCCAGGAGCCCTCCCGGGGCCGCAGACAATGGGACCGAGCCCAACAGCGGCGCCGGGGACCCGCAGCGCCCACCCGGACGCGTCCGGCTTCTCCCGCGGCAAAGGCGGGGAGCCACACCGGGGATGCTCCCCGAGTCCCGCACACCAGCGGCACCTCCACAGGGGGATGCTGCTGCACGGCCCTCGCTCGCCGCTTTTATGGTGAGGGTGGGCTGCGGGGTTTTTCCGGCTGGCCGGGGGCCCTACGGCCGGGCAGGGACCCTTTTAATTGTTCCCTGCCCTCCGCGCAGGCTGCAGGCAGCTTCTCTTGCCTGGCGAGTTTTTCCAGGCAGGCTCTGGCTGCAGCGCAAACACGCTCCAGCACAGCCAGGGAGACCGGACTTTTTCGCTTTTTCGGCCAAGAGACGACGTTTTGCATTTGAATAACCCCCAGCCTGCCCGCCTCGGAACGGCCCGACCCGCGGGGCTCCGAGCCCGGCCGCAGGGGTGCCCCTGCCTCCCCCTCACCGCTCCACCCCAGCTCAACTTTGCAATTAGCCAGGCACCTACGGGAGGGGGGAAAGAGAGGGGAAACAGAAGGATTACAAACAAAAAGAAAAAAAAGGAGGGGGGTCCGATAGTAGAGGTCCCCGCCGTCCCCCCCCCGCCCGCGGCAGCCCCGGGACCCGTCCCGCACACGTACCAGGGCTGCGGCGCGGCCAGCCCGCGGCTCACAGGAAGGGGCGATGCTGGCATGGCTCGGGTCACGGCCCGGGCCCCCGCGGGCCAGCGGCTCCCATGGCGCGACGAGCCCAGGCGGGAGAGGAGCCCCGGGCCGCGAAACGTGCTCTGGGCGGCGGCGGCGCCCCTGGCCGGACCCTCCGGGAGGGAGCGGGGAGGGGGCGGCCCGGCGGGGCGCTCGCCGCACCGAGCCCTCCCGGCAGGCGGCAAAACGCGCCCTGGATCCCCGCGGCCGGAGCGGGATTCGCCGCCCCCCGCCCCCCACCCACGCTCCCGCGCCGCGGGGGGACCCGGAGCGGCACCGGGCACGGCGTGGTGCCCGCACGGCTGCCCACGAGAGCCGCCGTGGGCGTGCCAGGCCGGGAACGCCGCGGGTTATTTGACAACAGCAACAATGAAATAAAGAAAGTGAGGGTAATGAAAGAAAAGGTGAATTATTCCGTTACTTGCGGAGGCTGCGGTTTGACGCCGCACACCTCCCGATCAGCCACGGAGGTGGCACTCTGAGATCATCCCTGTTCTTTATAGGCGGGAAGAGGGAAGACTCTGGTGAGCCGTGACGGGCAAGGGGCTCGCCCGGGGCCAAACCTCCTCGTCCATACATGTGCCACCCAGGAGGACCCTCAAACACCGGCATCCCTCAGGGCCCGGCCATCCCACGCGCGGAGTAAGCACACGCAGGAGAGTGGGGAAGATGCTGGCAGAGGAGGAAGAGCTGCCAAGCCTCCCTCTCCCTCCTGCAAGGAGAAAAAAATATAATGAGCCTTGCTCTCTCCCCATCCCCCACCTCATCCATTAAGAGCCACTGATGATATTTGCTGCTCCTTCCCAGAGGGAATCGGGCGAGTAAAAAGGTATAGTAAGAGGAAGAGTCAGCCCAGCCTTCTTCCACCACTCGTTATCATTGCAGCCCTTTGACAGAGTGGAAAGCAGGCCACCAAATCTAACAGACTGAAAAACAGATGTTGGAAACGGGATCTGTGAAACAATATACCCAAGCAGTACTTTTTTAGAACAGCTTCATTAATATTAAGTCTGTAGCTGTTGCAATATAAAGCACTTCAAGTGTGAACCAACCCATTCAAATTCGAACCTGCCGAGAGGCTTTTCTGCTGCACAGAAGGAGCAGTGCTGTCCACATCCATTCCTAGACATGCTTTAAATACCAGTGTTTGGCTGGTTTAAGGGACATGTGTTAAAGGAGAAGGAGGGGCACAGATCTGCACAGCTCATTGTCACTGCTGCCCTTCAGTGGCCTTGGGTAAGGTAGCCCATCACAAATTTGTACCTCCACCGCTTCTCTCCTCTCCTGTATGTCCTTGGAGTAAAAGAGGAATAGTCTGGGAATCTCAGCCAAGCTCAGACACTTCAGATGTATCAAGGTGAAACCTATACCACAGACTCCTGAATTTTCAACACTTGCCTCATCAGCTCTCAGTGGCAGGTGATTCCAGCAATGCACCAGCTCTCTTTGCTGGCTGTCATCCCAAAGACTTGCCCTGCTAGATGGGGTAACACAAGCTGTTTTACAAGATAAAATAACAGGTGATTTGAGAGGCAAAAGAGCTATTGCTCTGAAAGTGCTGCACAAGGCAGAAGCTGAAGGAACAGGAACTTGATGATAAAACCCTACATAAGCTGAGTGTGTTTCTTGGGAAGAGGGTAATAAGTTGCAAGTTGTGGGTTTCAACAAAACACAGAACGAGAAATTAGGAACTTTGGGGAAAGCAAAAAGCAGTGAGTGCCAAGGTTTGTTTGAAAGAAGCAGGTTCACAGGAGCACCCAAGCACCAACATGTGCAATCACAGCTCCATTAAAAGCATGCTAAAGGCAAGGAGACAATCAAGAACAACTGTCCATTTTCACATAACATGCTTGTGGTCTTTTGCAACACTAAGAAACGTCCTGGGAAGCAAATAGCACCAGTGACAATCTTTCCTGGCAACAGGAAGATACTCAGCCTACTAAGACAAGCTAAATATAACTATTTAGAGAGATCTCACAGTAATGACTGTCCGGGCAACAAAATAATGGATGAAATCCTTTCACTACATGCAAACAGAGGCACGTGAAGGGAAACATGGAAGTCACAGCCTCTGACTTAGCTCCTACCATTCAAACTAGAGATCCTGGTACTGGGACAGGTAGCCAATGAAGCTGTTATGTGTGCTCAAGTGGAGTGTTTGGATCCATTACCAAGAGAAGGAGAGAACAGAACAGGAAACATCCCAACAGCCCCATCATTTAGCCCAGACGTGTTGTACAAATCAATGGAAGAAAGTTTAATCAGAAGCCAGTTAATACAGAAGTATTATTTTAGCTACACATTACTTGAAGCTGAAAGAGTGCAATGAGGAAAAAGCCTTGTACGCTACCCAAGCCTCCTTTCCTATGTACATGCTACTGTCTCTTTTCATGAGTAAAGTTTTAAGCTTGTGGACCTTTGGTCTGACACAGTGCTACCCTCCCTGTGTTTTCATCCAGAATAAAATGCAAGTCAATACTTGCCTACAGAAGGAACAAAACTGAACACCATTGTACCAAGTAACACAGTGCACAAACTTGTGCGTAGCTCTGCATTACAGGCAGTTGTGGCAAAGCCCAAGTCTGTGGTAAAGATCAGGGAGCTTTGAGGGGCAGCTGCTCCCTGAGAGACAGGGAGCCCCACGCAACAGCCAGCTGGACAAGGACCTCCCTCAGCAGCTCCCAGCCCCACTGTACACACTCAGAGTAAACATGACAGGCCCAGGGGGGCATCTACATCCAGGCACAAGTCCTGATAATAAAACAGCTTCCAAGAGACAGATTGGAGACTGAATTAAGAACACAATCTATAGGTCAGAAGCAGATCTAGAGACGCAGGAGATAAGCAAACTTTCATACAATCCAAGCAAATAACAAAGAGGGCCCAGGATTTCTGAACAGGGCCAAGCCCAGGCTCTTACTAAACACAATCCATACCTGAGCCATGGCTGAGCTTAAATAGAGCTGCTGGGCCTGAGGGCACCGGGTATGGGTGGAGATTCCAGCTACAGCTGGTCAGGTCCATTAAGGCCTATTAGTGCCCTCAGGGCCTCAGCCCTGGACACAGAACTCTTCAGGTGTGCTGCCTCTAAATCAGTCCTACGGAGTCATCTGGAGCAGACTCTGCAGCAGGCACACCAGTCCAAGCTAAGAAAGGTTAGACTGTTGTTGAATGTAAGCCCTCCACAAACCAAAACCTCTGGGAATTACACTGCTTTTTTTAAGGGACAGATTTGATCTAACCAGGCCTATCTGGACTAGCTCTGCCTCCCTCATAGTGGAAACATGATGCTGAGACATTAGGGCTGTCTCCTTGTGCGATAACAAAGCATGGATGAAAGCATCTACCTTGCAAACCCTCCCTCAAATTTGTTATTTTAGACTCCAGGGTGACGTGGGGACCAGCCTGCTCTCAGGCTGTGACCCAGGAACCTGCGTGCTATGCCTGCAAGCCCAGCTGAACACAGGCCAACCCCTGTTAATGCCTTGGGGTTTGTAATACAGATGATCAGATAAATCACCCACAGCATTGTTAGTTGGCAGTATCTGAAAGAGAAAAGTCTTGAACAACATGAGTTTAATGCAGAAACTCTTGAATTCCAATTGTGGTTTTGACAATGACTTACTCATTGAGTCTTCCTTGGCCCTGGTTCTGTAGATAGTATCTACCTGCCTGATTGGCACTGAGAACAGGTAAACATTTGTAAAGCATGCTGAACACAGAGAGTTTAAGCATTAACACCATTTTATATGAAGTAAGGCCAGAAGGGGCCATGATTTCATCTTTGGATACCCATTATGAAGGCCCACTGCATTCATTTTAAATGTTTCCTATCAGATGTTTTTGACCTGCAGAGGACCTATTTTTACTGGAAATCTTGGCCCTTACATCACTGCATGACTGTGCACGAGCAATCTAAAGCAGGAGTGCAGAATGACTGTGTTGTGCCTAGCTGATAAACACTGCATCTGGGAAGACATGGTTAACTGTGGATGTACAAACTCAACATTTTTGGATGCTTCAAGTCTACAGCACTTTTGCAGTAAGACAGGTGACACCAGAGGTCACATAGTGACCTGCATCTGAAAGAAAGGAAGATGCCTGCTTAGCTAGAAATTTGGCACCACTGTATCTGCAGACTCAATGACTCAGATGAGTTGAATATTTCTGTTTCCTTAAAGACCTCACTGACAGGCTTTGGGTAGGGACTGTCAGGGTCCTGAGGGTGCCAACAAGTGTTAATGGCCCTGAGCAGCTTCAGCTGGCTCCTCCGCCCCCACACCCAGGGTGGAGTCCGTGGGCCCAGTAGCTCCATTTAAGCTCCGGCCTGGGCAGGTCATTTTTCCCTGTCTAAGCTCTGTTGTAGGTGTGCTTGTTGTGAGTCCTGGCTCTGGCCTTGGTTGTTGTCTGGATCTGGTTGCTGGATGGGCCTTAGGCTGGTTTTGGGTCTTTGCTGCTGTTCCTCACCTGCCTCTCTGGATGGACTCCAGACCTGCTTTGTGCCCTTGCTGTGACTGAGGTTGAGGCCTGTGCCCAGCACCAAGCTCTGCCTCTGCTGCTGCAGGACTGCACCTTGTGGGTGAGGACACCACCTGTGCTGTGCTCCCCTCACCTCGGGACAGCATTCCTGTCTCTGGCTCACAGGGAGAAAGAACGCTCGAGATGCTGCACTGGCAAGGAACTGAGGCTTGCTTGAGTACTCCCAGACTGCAAGCCATAGTTTTTGTGGAGGAAAAAGGGAAAAACAGAGCTCAGATTCCTGAGCCTCGTGGGGAAAGCTCTACTTCTGGTGGTTTTGGATATGGTTTGGGACTAGTGAGCAGACAACTAGATGTTATTTCAGATCACTATTTAGTGAAGAACAGAAGCAAGTCTAAAGTGGAAAAAAACCTTGCAGTGCCTCTAGTCCAGAGGCATGACACCTGAGGGTAATTTGTACAACTGGCCCAAAACAGAGCTTGCTGTATATCAGTATTTTAAGAGCACTGGAAATAATCTTTTCAGTAACCACTGCTATGAGGGTAGCTTACCTAATTTCAGCCCTGAGAGCCTATTTCAATTGATAAATATTTAAAATACATTTATGAAAACAACCATCTTTAACAGCAAAAAAATCAGGAGGAATTGATATTGATAAAGCTTCCAACCTGCTTAATTTTTTTCCTACAAATTAGCAGCCCTGTTCTTAAGTATCTTCATTTTAATGTCTTCCCCTGTTGATCATCAATCTGCCAGGGGAAGCCTGAAGAGGTGTCAGACCCGAGTGTAACCTGGGCAACGTTAGAATTGCTGTTGACTTTTAAGAATGGGTCATAAAAGAGAAATAACCCGAGAAATTCTGTATGGGGCATAAACACTTCAAGGTAAAAGGATGAAGTGTCAGTAGGGAGAAAGGTAAGATTTGAAGGTGCAAATGAACTACTGCAGAAGTTAGAGAAGAAAACAGAACTTGAGAGTTCTTTATACCAGTAAGTATTTAAAAAAAAACCACAAAGCTATGCACATAAAGCTGGCTGCTGAATTCCTTTGTGTGTTAGTATATCTATACAAGATGTTCTGTTTAGCTTTGCAATGCAAGTTTCTTACTGTTTTCCTAAACAGTTTGCACTCTTGGGGCACGCTTGCCTAAATTACTAGGGCTGACAAAGTATCTTCCTGAACTATCTTGCCTTTATCCCAAAGAAATAACAGCCCTTTTATGTGATTTTCGATTTTTTTCTACTCTGAGGTGAAATTCTGGAAACTAGATGACTTTCAGCTGTTAGTGCAGTCAACATTTTCCTGTGTGAAATCAGTAAATGAGGTTCCTACAGCTGGAGCTGTTAACGCAGTCTGGTGGCTGTGGCAGGAGGAGGCTTTTCCTGAGCAGAAACCCCAACGAATACGAATTGGCTGAAGAAAACTGCACTAACAGTGGCTATAAAACCTGCTTCAATAACTCACAGAACAGTTGCTTTCCCATGAGGGACTTCTCAGGTATATTACAGAATGTGAAAAGGTTTGAGAGTTTTCTTCGATAAAGGACTTATTCCATATTTTCTGGAAGAATCTGCCTACCTTTGGAATGTGTTTTTTTTTAATTATTATTAGGGGAAAAAAGCATATTGTAACAGCCCCTTCCCAAATATATAGAAGATGTGGTGATCAAACAGAGCAAAATAAAGTGTCCCTGATTCTGAAGCAAACTTAATTTCAAGGAATGTAACCTATTGAAAGAAGAAGTAAATGATTTCTTGGAGGCAATCGGGCACAAGCAGGAATTAAAAATGTTCCATCAATTTGTTGGGAACTTGGTTCCTTTTACTTGTGAAAGCATGGAGATCTTGTTGAGTGTTTTCTTCATGTTGAAAGACTGACTTTAAAAAAGGGATGTTGGTGTATGAAACACTTCAAACCCAGGTGAAGGTGTATGGGGGGAAAAACTGTGTGAGAAACAGGTGAGTAACTGCAGAAAACTGAGAGAAAAGCTGCCAGCATTAACTTTCTCACCTGATGTCACCAGGCACCAGTATTCAGAGGTTGAATTTGGGTTTGTTGTTTTTTTTTTAGGAGTTGAGGACAAGCCTAACTACCTCCTGGAAAGCCCTCTGCACTGTGCTGAACAGAGACATTGCAGAAAATCTCAACAATTGCCAGAAATGTTGACAGCTGCAGAGGTGATACTGGGTTTGACCTTTCTGATACTAAAAATGCTGCATTTTTTTTCTTCAATTTCTACTTCCTTTTCTGATGCATTTTGAAACTTGAATATGAGTAATCATAGTGATAATTTTTTTTCTGAGTATGAGATGTAATTGTAGACAAAAGAAACACGGATGCTCTAGCATGACGTAGCTATTTAGATGCTTAAAAAGTATATTTCTATGCGTAAAAGTACATTTAAATAGAAAGAAATTCTTTATAGAGAGGGTAATCAGGCATTAGAATGGGCTGCCCAGGGAAATGGTTGATTCTCTGTCCCTAGAGGTTTTTAAGATGAGAATGGATGTGGCACTTATTGTCATGGTCTAGTAACCGCGGTGGGAGCGGATCAAGGGTTGGGTTTGATGATCTCAGAGGTGCTTTCTAACCCGGCTGATTCTATGATAAATGCTTAAAAATGTATAGCTTTATTAGAGCTATTAAGGTGTTGGTTAGAGGTCTAAACACGTGTATTTTTGGCAGAGGACGTGGATGACCGTTGTCACCGAGCAGCAAGCGATGCCCTGGGGTACCACCCGACGGCGAATCCCCTCGGCCCCGCGCTGCGGAGCGCACAAGGTGCGAGCTCGATCGCCCGGCCGTGTTAAGCCGGGCCTTGGCTGGGCGGGCGAGCCCATCCTCCGGCGTGACGTGATCGGCAGGCGCCGCGCTGTGCCCGGCGGCCCCGGCCGTGGCTCGGCGGGGCCGTGCCGAGCTCCGCCCTTGCGGCGCGGCCGGCGGGCGGCATCGAGCGCTGCGGAGCCGCCGCCGCCCGGGCCGGCCCAGCCCCGCCCAGCCCTGCCCGGCCCATGGCGTCCCCCGCGGCAGCGCTGCCCCCGGCCCGCCGCGACTTCTACTGGCTGCGCTCCTTCATCGCCGGAGGTGGGTGCTGGGTGCCCGGGGCCGCGGGCGGGCGCTCCGCTGTGCGGCTGGAGCTGCTGCCGGGGGCGGCTCGCGTGTCCCTTGCCCCGGTGGAGCAGCGCGGCCACTCAGCGCACGCCGGAGGCTCGCACGTGTGTCAGAACCCCGGGCAGTCTCCACTTCAATGCTCCCAGAGCACAAACCCTCGTCAGGGCTCTCTGGGAGGGCGGGTTGTCCCTGTCCCCAAACTGTTGCGGCTGCTGTTGTGAAGATTAAGGTGGTGTGAAGTGGCACGGCAGCCTGGCAAACACAGCCCCGCATTAGTAACCTCTTACAGAAAAAACCTATTTATTCTTCCTCTAGGGTGTTGTCCCAGCTGTGTGGTTTGCCGGGGGTAGGAGGAGGTTGTGCTTATTTGAAGTTTGTACATCACGCCGCGGTCGCTGTTGGGTCTCGCTCTCTGAAGCAGCGCAGGGTACGCGGCAGACACGTGCCCACCCCTTGGGGAGAGCAGCAAGGGCTGTGTTCTGCTCAAGGGAAGGAGGGAATAGGGCAGAAAACTCTTGAGTAACTTTCAGGAAAGTTCCTTCTGCTGTGACCTCAGAAGCTGAGAGACACAGTGGTTTTGTAAACAGGAAAAAGAGCTTATACATTTCATTAAGGCATTAGGGCTTTGTAACATCTAATAGAAGCTGTTTACTTGTCATTGGGTTTTTTTCCAGTTCCTAACCGAGCTAAATACATTAGAAAAATGCCTAATTTAACTGCTGACCTAAAGAACATTTTGCATCCTGTCACTTTTCTGTTTCCCCTCTTGGAAAGGTGTTGCAGGATGTTGTGCCAAAACAACTACTGCACCACTGGATCGAGTAAAGATTTTGCTGCAGGCACATAACCACCATTACAAACATCTAGGTAAGATGGCTGCTGCGGGTCTCCTGTGTGGGTTTGAGTGCACTGTGAATGCTTTGGGTGTGTTGATTTATTCGATGATAAGGCTTATAAAAAAAGATGCTCATCAGACAGAAGGTTGCATCTGTCTGGTCAGGCCCTGTGCCATGTTTTGTTAGTGTTTGAAAAGGAAAACAAAGCCCTGTGTAAGTTGTGGTATTGGTTGATGTGTTAGAGATGGAGATGTCAGAATAATCCTCAATAAGGCATGGAAGAGCTAGGCTTGATCTTCCCATACAGAAGCCAGCAGGAGACTGGTAATCACAGCATCAAAGCTTGGATCATTTCTGTAAAAACTGTGCTGCAGTGGCTGCCAGTTCCCAGGGGCTGTGGGGTCTGCTCAATGACAAGGCCCCTGGACAGTGGCAAGGGATGGAGGAGAGCAGCAGACTGTGCTGCTGTGAGGTGCAAGGGGGTCTGTGTTGCATCATGGTAAGAACAGACTCACACGTTCAGAACTGTTCTCTGAGGGCTGTAACAGTGCCCTCTTGTGCAGAGTATCTGAGGCATTTATGCCATATGCTACTGAACTATGGAATAACTTTTGCTCCAACATTCGTTAGATTTTTCAAGGATAAAAAATGTTTTGAGTTGGCATTTTTTACATGTAGTTAAGCTTTGGAAATTTCAACTTAGACACTGAAGGTAATGCTTCTTAAAAGAAAATCTTGAAGCAAAATTCAGTGGATATATATTCACCTCACTGTGGCAAAAAGGGATACACAAGTAATGTGGCATTTTAGTAACAGACACGTAAGTATACACTCAAATCTGCAGTCTAAGAAGATTATTTCACCTAAGAAGGGTGAAATAATTGGTTTAACTGAGATCTTAATTACTCATTTTCTATTTGCTTTGTACCATGCCATAACTGGCAAATGGAATTTAATGTTCATCCCTGTTTAGGGTGTGATAAGATGATGATTATGTGAAACGTCTGACTTGAATGCACATCCATGTTACATATTGGCAAAAGAGAGAATTATGTGGATTAGGTACCTGTAAGTCCAGAGACACGATGGATCAGTTCATCAAAGTCCTTTTTTTTTTACTGCCCTTGTTCTGGGAAGTTCATACCACATGAATCTGGGAGCATGTCCTGAGAAATAAAACAGTAACTCCTCATTGCAACATAGAGAAAAGAAATTCTATTCACAGCATAAGTGTGTTCGGAGGCATGCAATAAGCATGACATCCTAAAAATACATTTACTATAAAGTAATATGTAATATATTAATATACAATAATGTATTCGTATTCTTAGGACCTCAGAAACTAATTAATACTTATTTTTAAATGTCAATTGAAAGTTCACCAGCTACTCTTTTTTCTTTTGCCTGAAAGCAGGATCAATGTGTAAGCCTTTTTCATGTTCAGCTCTTAAATTATTCAGTAGTTGCATATGAATGAAAACTTTTTGAGTCTCACAGCTTATTCCTAAAAAAAAAAAAAAAAGGAAATTCAATTCGATAGCAATTTTGCCTAACTAATATTTATAGTGAAAATATAAGTTTTGCTCTAACTTGGTGTGATCTGGCATTATTTCCCAACTATTAAAAGAGAATAGGATTGCTTCTTGTTGCAGCTCTGGGACGAGAAGTGTAAGGTGTTTAGCTTGTAGGTAATGAGAGTCTTCAGCTTGTTTACTTCATTTCCTCAGTGATGGCATTTAGTCTGTAATTTAGCCTGTACAACATCAGATTCTTTTCCCGTGGTTTTAGGCTGTAAGGTATTTGTCTCTGTATTCTGAATTGCAGTCAGCTGGTTTGCTCCCCTCTGTTGCTGGAGGGGACTGTGGGTGGGTAGTGGCACCTGCAGTGGGGCTGCTCACAGTCCAGGCAAGGCCTGGGCCCTGAGTGCATGAATTCAGAGGGAGTTCACTGAGTCTGGGAGGTGAGAAAGCTGATAAAACTTCACCTTCCACCCCTCCCTTGCAGCAGTGTTTGGGCAGTGAAAGTGGCTCTCCGCTGTCCCCAGTCACCGAGCAGCACGGGGCAGCCTTAGCTTTCTGTGCATGCTTTCTGATTGTCAGTAGTGTTTGCCTGATTTTTGTTCCTTCCCCCCAAGTGTTAAATCCCTCTTTCTGTATTGCTGGCAGGAGTGTTTTCCACGTTGTGTGCTGTCCCCAAAAAGGAAGGTTACCTTGGGCTGTACAAAGGCAACGGGGCAATGATGATTAGAATCTTTCCGTATGGCGCTATTCAGTTTATGGCCTTTGACCAGTATAAAAAGGTAGTTGAATTTAGTTTGTTTTGCTTGTCTTTTTTTTTCCTTTCTGCCCACAATGAATACAGACTCACTGAGTGATAACACTGAAACTTTAGTGTGTTATTAATTAGCTGCATGTTTCTTCTAAGGTTGCTTAATTTTATCTGAATATACTCATTGAAAGTGTCAGGGCAACAGTGAAACTTTTAAGAGATTCCCACTGATTTTTGTGCCTTTTTGTACCTTTATATTATTAAGAATAATGCTTTTTTTCTTAAAGAAAGCAAAAGATAATCTAAAGCCTGCTGCTATTTATTACTGTAAGGTATCCCTTGGTGAATAAAGTAGGAACAAAATGTGAAATTAAACATCTTTATTTGTATTTATTTGTGAGATTGAAGCTGCGATTCCTTTCCCAAAGAGCAAATTTTAGAAGACTGAGACAAAGAAGTAACTGTCATGGGTTTTGTAGGTTCTTTTTTTTGGGTTGTCAGCATAAATGCTGTTGATCTGTGCATGTTTTATGTCATGCGGATTAAAAGACTGCATGCTGTGCTCTAAAATGAAATGATTTATGAATCTGCAAATTTCAAGAAACCAGTTGACATCATAGCAGTTCCCTTTACCGTTAATTGACAGGGAATGTTCATGATGTTTTACATGGATGTGTAAAAGAAAAAAAATTGTTAAAGGAAGAAGATATGTAATGATCTTTATAGCAGAAATTGCTTCTGAAGTAGTCTGTTATTTGGCAAAAAGCTGGAAACTAATTTCTAACTTCCTTCTGACTGTAATGTTACTTAGGAAGTTCTTTCTCTGAGTTGTTTGTCCTATTTTTCTCTTCTCCTTTTTTCCTTTTGTTTTGATCCAGTTTAAATCCAGTGTGTGTGGAAGAAAAATTGACTCTTCTCCCTTTTCAACTTTGCTCAGTGTCCTTTGCTCTCTACAAGGATAGTTTTCAGTTTGCCTTGTTTGACACACATTAATGATAACTAAATAAACAATTAATTGCATTCCTGAAGTGAACGGTACAAGTACTTTCAACTCATTGTTTTGTTTTGCGTTGTTAGTAGAATTTTAGCATGTTCATGTTTCTAATCAGAAATTGGAAACAGCAGCAGTGTTCAAAAGAGTATTTTAGCAGTAATTAAGTGCTCTGGATTGAATTTGTAGCGTTGTAAACTTCTTAGCAGCCTGCTACAGAGTTTGCATTAATGTGCTGATAAAGTTTGTGCCATGTTTCCCTGCACTTTCTGATGAGATTATTGTAAATGTTCCATATTTTGTAGGTAATAAAGAAACAACTTGGGATTTCGGGGCATGTGCATCGATTAATGGCTGGATCCATGGCAGGTATAGTTTTTGTACTTGGATTTCAGACATGCCTTTTGCTGAAAAGTTAATATTTATTTAGAGGATGATTCCACGTGTGGTCAGGTCAAACTACTGCGAATTTGTGTTTAGCAAAAATAAGAGTAAATGGTTAATGGGACACAGTTGTCTACTTGACATCCATTTGTTGAAGAGTATTCTTTTAATATATTTTTGCAAGCAGGTTTTTTTAATGTTTATTAGGGCTTTTAAAAAGTGCAAAACCCCAGTGTCATCAAGATGAAGTCCAAAGCTGCAGATTTTGGTGGAATTGGCTCATCAGCCCCTCTGCCATTTCTTGAGGTCAAACAGAAGCCCACGGAAACAGAGGGAACTGCAGCTCCTTCCATGGGTGTGTTCTTTGGATTTGCCAGCCATGTCTGTGCTTTTCCATGCCCAATGCGGGATTGTCACGATGCTCTTTAGATCATGTGTGTGAACTTTAAAACCCCTGATTTATCAGTTAGAGGAATAGCAGCAGAAAACCCCCTGTGCAAGCTGCCAGTGTAGAGTATGATTATATATTTGTTTTCCTCTTACTAGTCATTCAGCCAAAAGTAGCTAAGAAAAAACAGGGAAAGGTAAGTGATAGTGGAACTGATTTTTAATTGAAGTGATTCTTCATGTGCTTTTACTTTGTTAAATGGGCTTAATACTGCCTAGTGACAGTCTTTAAGTAGTTATGGGAATTCATCTTTAACTTCTTTTGTAGTAAAAATATTGGAGTTTGTTAATACTACCTTTAGTTAAACTAGGAAGACCTTATGAAAGTATTCTGGCTTTTGTAGTATCAGAGGAAGAGGAAAGACAATGAAATGAAACAATGAGAAGAGTCCTGAAAACTAGCAAAACCCATTTGGCAACATATGTCCTAGAACTTGGCTGACTTTCTTTCTGAAAGACGTGGGGAAAAAAAACCCCATAGATTTTTTTCTTCCTTTTTTTATCCCCCCTGCCTTTAACTGTGTTAGAGAACACTTTGCAATTTACTTTCCCCCCAAAAAAACCTTAGTATTAGCTTTGTCAGAGCCTAGGAACCTGATTTGTGAGGCACTGTGCGAGCACTGAATAATCAGCTTAACCCTGTCAGTGTTGGACGTGGTGGTGGAATTCTTTGTGCAGATCAGTTAATAGCATCTGGCATTGTTTTAAGCACCTTACTGGTTAAATCTGGTTTGTGTGGTCAGAGTAACAGAAATAAATGAGCACACAGTACTGTGATCCAAGGAAGTGCTTCATGTGGTGTGTTTAAGTACAGGATACTCAGCAGTGTGGGTTTGGGAACCCCAGAGCTGAGTAGGTGAGCTGGACTCTGGGATGCAGTGAAGGGGATACAGTCAAGTGTGTATATAGTGTCACATGGCAGTGTCTTACTGTTTACTAGGTGGCATGAACTGCTGTTTGGGATATTTTTTAGTTGATAAGAGGGGAGGCTTTCTTTTGATTATTCCAAGAAGCTACAGAGGAGGAAGGGGGCACTGAGAAGAGCAGTGAGCTTGAAATCTGGAGCACAAGTTTTCTAGGTTTGCAAGCAAAAGAGGAGAACCTTCTAAAAGCAAGTGATAGTATTTCTTGCTTTAACTCCTGTGGCCTCGTTTCTGGCTGGCTCCAGTAAAGGGTATTTTTCTGTTTCCTGCAAGTTTAAATGAGTGAAAGAGATGATGCAGCCCAGTGTCGGTGCAGAGGGACATGCCCAGTTCCATGGAACACAATATTAAGCAGTTGGGAACAGAGAACCGTGTTTCCCTCTCCTTTTTGTCCCCTCTGCACCCTTTAGCCAGACAGTTGTCTGCTTTCACTTCTCTGTACCACTGCTGCTTAAATCTTGCTTGTGTCAGTGTTTCCAAGGGAACCAGTGGTCAACAGACCTGAAGCGGCTTCAAAGGGGTGGGAAACATCTGAGTATCTCCTGTAACTGATAAGCAGGATCAAAAGCTTATCCACAGGGAAAAACAAGGCAGTGAGGATGGGAGAAGTGGAGAGGGGAAAAAAGCAAAACCTATTGTAATGCATATATTTAAGGAGGCCAAGTTAAAGTTACTGTGGAAACTTTAACTCTGAATTTCCTGAGTCTTGTGTGATTCAAATTTCAGCTGTAACACCTCATTAACGGATAAATGGTGTATAACTTCTTCTGAGGAAAGGCAGAACTGGGCAGAAGATAGAGAAATCCTGGAGGTTAGTGGGGTTTAGGAAACAAAATGATCAACTAACAACACAGATGAACAAGGAACATCAAATGAAACATCACAGGATGACTTTATAAATCTAAATAGTCACAGGATTATTTTAAATTTTGTTTAATTTTCTAGTAGAAAAATCTGAATTAAAACACAGAAATGTGTATTTCCACCCCTGCACTTGATTAACTTCAAAATAGCAAAGTCAAAAAAAGAATAGATGTTATCTAAAATAAACTCCAGTTCCATTAAGCTACTACAGAAAGTATGTTTTTGCTTTTAGCTTTTTACTTTCAGTAAAAGTGATTGGAAAATAGAACTGATCTAGTAGGATAATGGCTGTCTCCCTTTTAAATAGTGTGTAATCAACAGTTCCCTCTATGAGTCAACATTTTAAAAGAATCTGTGTGGTCTGTGTCTTCAGGTGCAGTTGGTAGAGAAGCAGAATTATATATTGGAGATATAGAAACATTAGGATGTGTAAATTAGACATCCTTTAACCTGTCTTTGTCATCAGCTCTTTCTCTGCTTGTGTAGTTCCTGAAGCTTTGTTTTGTTCAGGAGATGTTTCCTGGATAAATTAATCTTTACACTAGCTAAGGAGCATATCTTCTGCAGCTCAAGGCTGTGACTCGTGCTTATCACTTTTTGAGCTGTAAACCTCTGGCTGTGCTTAATTTGATCTGCAGAGCTGCTGATAAAGTACAAAGAGCCTGGTGCAGAGATCATGGAGACTTGTGTGCTGAATATCTGTAATGTATTTCACTTGTGTTTTTTCTTGCTCCAGATAGTTTTTAATTTTTACTTCAAAATGTCTGAGGATGGAGGAATAGCAGGCAAATTAGGAGACAGAGATAAATCCCTTTAGAGCTAATCTCATGGTTAACTCCCAGAGTCTGGGAAGCAAATCAAGGACAGTCTAATTCCTGTCGTGCTTCACTGTCACTAAGTCTGTAGTCTGTGTAACCCAGTGTCTTGTCCCCAAGAGCGATCAAAGGTGCTTCAGGACAACATGGGAAGTGAGGGAGGGTCTTTCCCTGGCTTCCTGGGCTTCTAAGCCAGCAGTTGCAGTGGAAAAGTCTGCTGTTTTGAGGATTCAGTGAAGGAGGGAGAGCCTCATTCCCCTGTTATGATTGTTTCAGGTCAGACACTGGGAATTGCAGGATCCACCTCCAAATTGTTGCGATACTTCCAACTCTGTTGTGTTTAACCAACCATAGGAGAGATTTTTGGCTCAACTATCATTAACTGGAGTAGATTTTGCTTTTTCAAGGCAGGGAATCAGCCTTAAGATGCTGTGGTCTGATTTCTTATAAGTCCTACCGTATAGGAAACTGAGAGCAGTAGTGAGTAGACTCACCACAATGACTTTGTGTCCCAAAGCTGGCTGCCATTCCTCCTGGAAAGGACAGTGTCTCTCCTAAGCCCCAAAGGAAACTTTGATCCCTTGCATGTACAGTGCTTCTCCCAGTTGCTTCAGAAACTTTTTGGCTGAGGTTAGAAATCCCTTTTTTTTTTTTTTTTGGATTCTATGGCTAGAGGATTTTAAAAACCCTCTAATAATAATAATAATAAAAAAAAAAGTTTCTATTTAAATCCCTACTGCAGATGGTTTCTTTCAGCTGTATCTGATTTTTTTTAAATTGTACTATTTTTGGACTGTGTTCACTAAGTGGTGCATTCACCAAGCTCCTGGATGGTCTGTTTGCTAGTCTTTGTTCAGACAGATTCCTGGAGAGATAGCAGTGCATGATTGGAAAGAGAAAGGGGGCAAAGTTGTCTGTTTTCTAAAGTAGGATGAATTTTCCTGGAAACTCTTAAGCTCTGTAAAAGGGCTTTCCCCTCCCCTATTTTTACTTTTATTTAAAATGCTTGAATTCATCTCTTTTATGATATTTCTGGACATCTCAGGCAATCCATTAGGAAAAGGCTGTAGACTGAGGGATTGGATTTAACGTAGGTCAGTGGAAACAGTCCTAAAGTTTCTTTAGTGTTTTGCAGCTTCCAACTTCTGAACCCTATGAGTGAGACAACAGCAGAAATCAACTGCAGATGTCTGCTCTTTGTTCAGAGGAATTGTCCAAAATGTCCAAAAGAGATGTTTTTGTCTTCTGAAATAAATTACTTGTGGGATACTCCAGAAAGCCACAAACTTTGCTCTCAATTGACAGTTGACCAGTGTCAGATTTTTTTGATAGCTCACTTAGGGTGTTTGTTTTTTTTCTCCCCATCTCACCCTGATATTTTCTGTCAGATCATTCAATTTACTAGAGTTGTGTTTTGTTGTGGGTTTTGTTTGGTTGTTTTTTTAGTTTGTTTTAGTTTGGGTTTTGGTGTGTGTGTTTTTTTTTTTTTCTCCTAGCATAAAAGTTATAAAGAGCTTGTTTGCAAGAGTTTTGTTGTGCTTGGGTTTTGTTTGTTTTTAATTCCTCCTGTTATGGTTTTCTCTTGACCTTGTGGAAAGGAAGGGAAGTGGTACACCTACAGAAAGAGATATCAGTGAGAGACTATTACAGCTTAAGAGGAAGTGACAGTTTCCTGCCTACATAAAAAGTGGGCTTGTCTTCTGTAGAACCAATTTTAAAAAGTTGTGTTTAGCTAAATCAGACCAGTTGCTGGAAAACAGTATCAATTACAAAGGTTTTCGCTTTCTTTTTCTCCTTTTCCTAATTTTGAGGGGTTTGGTTTTTTTTTTTTTTTTGGGACTGTGGTGTACCAACAGAGAATGGCCTCTGTTTTCAGTTGACAGTTCTAACTATTCCCTCCAAAGAATTTGTCAACCAGTGAGTGTTTTACCTCAAAAAGCAGCAGTTGGAAAGAATTTGTAATTCATGTAACTGTTAGAACTGATATTTTCCGTAATGGAGTTGTGTTTCCAAAATTACAAGTTGGTCACCATCTAAGCAGTTCTGAAACAATCTAAAAGTGGATGAATCCTAAGATTTGGGTTTTTTTGGCATCTTAAGTCCAGAAATAACCTTTCTGGTCAATTTTAAACCATAAGTGCTGGTGTAACATGAACTATTACAATGCAGTAGTGCAGCACAGTTAAGTATTCCTCATCAGTATGATCCTGGCTCTATTTTAAATGTCACTAGAATATATTTAGTATGTCAATAGAGTATGTTTAGTATTTTCAGATGCAGCAGATAGATACATGTATCCATATCCAGTAATCACACCAAATTCTGACACAACCTTTCTGAAATTAAACATTTAAATTTGGTGATTTGATTTTTTTAAAAATTTATTTTGATATTTAGGTTTAGGTTTCATGCTTGCAATCCAGTAAAGCTGATGCACTTGACTAGCCTGACTCTTAGGAGCTTTGGACATCAATAAGATTGCTCAGGTGAATACAGTCAAGCCCATAAATCTTGGGAAAATCCAGGCCTAGGTGTGCTGCTTCAGTGAACACCAAGTTCAAACGTAAATGCTTTGTGTGTTACTGAAGTGGGTGTTCCTGTTTGCTGATTTGAAGTGACGTTAAGTGTTTCTTTAGCAAAATATTTTGTATATGCTATTTTATTCACTGCCACAAAAGGAAATTCTGATTTTCAAAATAATCCTAGACTCAGATAAGGTGTTAGGTGAGTTTTGTTTGCTTGTTTTGTTTTTGTTTTTAATAAAGGTATTACAGCAGTGATTTGTACTTACCCTCTTGATATGGTTAGAGTTCGTCTGGCGTTCCAAGTCAAAGGGGAACACAGGTACATGGGAATTATCCATGCATTCAAGATGATTTACACAAAGGTATTTTTTCTTTTAATCTTCAGTCCTGTCAAAGCAAAATATGATCTTTTAAAGAATGTTGCATTGCATTGAAAATAGTGGCTTGGTGGCAAATTACATGACTTCATAATGTGCAATTTAGCTTTTTTAATGTAAAAAGTTATCTGGATGTTTCCTGCTACTTAGGCTGCTAAGCTGGAGTTAAAGCTCATGGAAGTGGGAGGCCAAAAACAGCAGGGAAATTGCTTTTCAAGAACGAGTGGTAACGATCCCAAAAGATCTGGGGAGGAGGGCTAAGCATAATGCATAACTGTCTCCAGTTATGATGAGGATGTAGATTTTGCACCTCCTGTAGAGCCAGACCCCCTCAGTTTTTCAGGCCCAAGGAGCAGACCCTCCTGTTTGCTCCCTTGTGGTCGATGGTGCCAGTCAGGCTGCCAGGGGAGCCTCTATCAAGACGTGTAACTTGTTCAGACCTTTGCTGTATTTCTCGCCACCAATGTTGTTGTGTTTTTCTTTCAAAGGAAGGTGGTTTTAGAGGGTTCTACAGAGGGCTGATGCCAACTGTTGTAGGAATGGCACCGTATGCGGGTAAGTTAAAACCAGGCCGTGGTTGTCTTCCAGCAGTTGTGTGCACTACTGAATTTACATGGTATATTTGTACACCTACTTAATCAGCTGCTGTCCAAATCACCTTCAGTGATGCTCCTTAAAGAGCATCTTCCAGGGTCAAAGCCTTGCTTTTCTGAAATGAGGAACTGAGAGGGAGGGGTACGAGTGGTTCTCTCGTGCTTCCCAGTTTTCCCCTCAGGAAGGCCTGAAGCTGTTTCTCCCGAACAGGTAGATCGGGAGCGCAGCGCTCTGTGAGTGGAGCCCGAGAGCCTCAGCATGGGCTCCATCTGCTGGCTGCTTCCCTGTAAATCCTCACGCCAGCTAAAGCGGCGGGTGATGTGGAACCGAGGAGCACACCCGCCCAGCTAAACTAGATTTAAAAGATGTGCCATGTTCTTCAGTTAAAAAGGTTTTAGGATTATTCTTGACAGCGATGCAGTAATTTAAAGCTCGCAGTCTCGCTTATTTGAAGCGTTCTTTTAGCATTATGTTCAAACACAAATTCATTTGAACAGGAATTACTGTCGAAGTTCAAAATACCATTTGTCTATTTCTTTCTGCTTAAGAAAAAACTTCTAAAAGAACTGGAAAATTTTGTAAGAGCAGCTTTTTGTTTGTGATGATGATGATGATGCATCAACGAATAGTTTGCTTTTTTACGAAAGTACATAAAATTAAATTTCCTTTTAGGTTTTTCATTTTTTACCTTTGGTACCTTAAAGAGCATTGGACTTGCTCAAGCACCTAACTTGCTTGGACGGCCTTCATTAGATAACCCCGATGTCTTAGTTTTGAAAACACATGTAAATCTGCTGTGTGGTGGCATAGCTGGAGCAATAGCTCAGACGATATCGTAAGTTTGGGTACTGGGTTGGTTTTCCTCTCTTCATTCTAAAGAGACTTTTATCTGAGAATACAATTTTATCTAAGTCTAGTTATTGGTAAGGCTTTGAAATCAGCTTAATCAAGCACTGAAAGTCAATTATTTCCTATTGTTTCGTTTACTAATTATCTGTTTAATCTTCAGGGTCTTTACGGATATATGCTATGAGTCAATTAAACAAATTCAGGCAAATCTCCGGAAATCCATTGGAATCTGATTTGCTAACAATCTCGTTTCTTAGCTTGTTTGGTAAGCTAAGAAATTTTGACCTTGAACATAATTGGCAGAATTTTATTATTCCAATTTACTTTCAAATCTATATAACCTGTGAAGCCATAGCATTAAAAAAACAAAAACAAAACCGAAAACAAAACAACAAGTCTTAGATATTGTATTTGGCTTTTTTTTTTACTTTGCTTGCTTTCTCCTTTCTCATGCTGTCCTTGTTGTATTTTAATTTTCCCATAAAATAATTTAATGGACTTGTATGGCATCAATTTTTCAGTAAGTCACTGCATTGCAAATCTAATTTTTTATTAATCCTTAAACTGTTAATTTTATTTTCGATGCAGGTGTCTTCTCCCTCCGGCATTTTACAGACTATTTTATATTCTTCATGCGTCTTCCTTACTAGTGCCAAATATTAAGGGGTCTGGTTTGCTGGTTTTGATTGTGTAGGGGAAGTCTCCCTTTTTGGAGATCTATCAGCTGTGTTGAGAATGTGAGCTGGATTCCTGACTCCCTGAAAAGGGAGCTTGGAGATTGCACGTGGATTTCTTTGTGTTCTTGTCTAAATATTCGAAGAGCCCTCACCCCTGTGGCTGATCTGCTGTTTAAACGTGTTCCCTGCAGGTATCCCCTGGATGTAACTCGCAGGCGAATGCAGCTGGGAGCAGTTCTCCCAGACTCTGAGAAGTGCCTGTGAGTATTTTTGTTTTTAATCTGTAGTAACTGAATTCTTGGATGTCTGAGCAAAGTTCGTTTCTTAATTTTAAAGTTTAAAAATAGAAGGAACAAAAAACCCCCACCCCCAGACTACTGTGTTGTTGATTTCTTCATTCTTTTATTGAGGAAGTTTCTGCAGAGACAAAAGCTGCCATTATCAATCTGGGCCTAAAAAATATATGAAATCACAATGGCACCTTGTTAGTAATACTGTGTTTGTATTAGTAACGTATTTTCTTTTTATTTTAATGCAACTTGTGAAATCTTTAATATCAGCAAGAACACTAAAAGAGAGACCACATGCTTCTACTGAAATGGAATTGTTTCAGAGTGTAGATTCTGTTCCGTGAGATAATTTTGCATTGTACAATTTTATATGACCTTTCTTGCACTTATGGTAATACTCCATATGAGGTTAAGGTTCCTTCAGTAAAAGCAGAAGTACCATAGTAGCCTTAAAATTATAATAGTATTAAATCAGCTCTCATCTTGGAAAAACTTCCTGAATTTCAAATTGCCTCAACCAGATTAATTCTGGGACAGTTTTCTCTTGCTTAGTTTCAATCTTGTGGAATTGTGTAAGTGTGAATCCAGTGTGATGCAGTGTGAACCTCCTACCTGGAGAGCTGGACCTTTCTAACAGCAACTTGAGTGACCTTTCACAAGCTCCATGCTGCTTAACTGTGAAGGTGGCCGTTCTGTTTTCCTTATCAGGCTTTACTTTTTTCTTTTTCTTGGCTATTTTCCACTCATGATACTTTAAAAATAAAAATGTTTTCATTGTTCTTGGGGGTTTACTTTCTGCATTTTTGGTGTCTATTTGCTCAGTTTCAATACAAGTCTGTGAGGAAAATTTCTCTCTGCATATACACTGCAATTTCTGCTTTTAACAAGGTCAAATATATACTTAAATTCTAGCTTTTTCTTTTTGAGAGGAAATACTAGGTCTTCATTGTGGTGGCAGAAGCTACACAGGCAGGGTGTAGAGTACAGAGCTGAACATGAGTGGTACATGCAGAGCTTTAGAAGGATGGGCTATATGGGTGAGTGCTCTGGGAGGATGGAATACAAAGTTTGATGCAAGAAGAGGCTGCTACATTGACCACGTGATGTTTCTGTTGCTCTGTATTACATCTGTAAAAGGAATTGATGCTTCTCAACTCCTTCCTGCCAGTTAGGCAACAGAACAGGTGTAGCCATCCTGTTGGAAAATGTCTTTCAGGGCAGATATTTTCAGCCTGACTCTTGTTTAGGTGTGACTGGTCCGTTCTAATTCCCAGCCCTGGTGCCCAAATTTATTGCTGAAGCTCAGACTGTCTGAGTCCTATGATGACTGTAATACTTTGCTATATGGAGTCCCATGGGGTTTTCTCCACAGATCTCATAAGAACCAAGTAAAAATAGTGTCTTGTATTTAAAGAAAGTGATTTTGACTATTGTGTATGTGTATCTAATAATGATTTGAGTTCTTCTTTCTGCAGTACAATGGTGCAGACACTGAAGTATGTGTATCAACAACACGGAATTCGAAGAGGACTGTACCGTGGTTTATCTCTAAATTACATTCGTTGTATTCCTTCCCAGGCTGTGGCTTTTACCACATATGAACTTATGAAACAATTCTTGCACCTCAACTGATTCTTTTCTTTACAAGACTTTTCTGTAAAACTACACCATCAAATCCTCGGATTATATCGATGAGTAAATTACTTGAAGTTTAGAAAAAGCTCTCTGTTACTGTGGGCCTGCTCTTGTCTGGTATCTTTATTTGCCAAAATGCATTTGATTTCTTGGAGTCGAACCAGGTGACAGATCACAATAAACATTAGTTGGCTCTAAACACTTTTTTTGCACTTGATCTTCTAGGCTTCATTAGATTCATGTTAAGGACAGCTGGAAAATTACACCCACACTTCATATAGATTCCAAGCAGTTAGTTATTGAGCTTTATCACCATTCCAGGACTTATGCTGCTTTTTAAGCTGGTAATTAGGCATCTGTTGTTCTTCAGAAATTAAATGGAATAAACGGATTTGAACATAGTGCAATGATTTTGGTATTCAGATACTTGCCAGGTCTGTGGAAGCTGAACTCAGCAGACCCACAGTTGAAGCCTCTTTTCTTCTTTTTCCTGTACAAGTTCTCTGTATGCAAGAACAACGCCTATGTCTTGAGATTGGTACATAGGAAAGACTCTTCAGCCAATTCAACCAATACAAGATGTATTTTGCAGTGTTAGAAACCTTGCAATTTGGAAACCAGTTTCCTGGCATACATTCTATTCTAAAAAAAATGCTGTATCTACACAGGTAAATGCAGGGGTGACTTTGAGAGTGACAAGTGCTAAAAAAGATGTCCCTAAGGCAGGTGGGAGGGACCTGATCTTCCAAGGCTTTTCTGTACCTTTTCTGTGGAGCTGAATGTTCTCAGTTTGTTGAAGGCTGAGTATGTCACTGTACTTTGCAGGACTAGCTGATGTAAACAGTTTTTTCCCTGCCTGCAGCCAGGGTGACAGACAGGACTTGCTGCATTGACTTGCTTGGCCATGTGGACCATATCCAACAGAAAGGACAATTAAGATTGTGCTGGAGCCTGTAGGTGTGTGTGTACTGTTTCTGAAGCATGGTATGCAATAGACTATGGCATCTTTTCCTCCTCCTACAATTCTTTTTGCAGAAGGAATTATTTTATACATGATCTGCATTGGTACTCTTGATTTTATTCACTTGATTCAGGAAACTGTAAAGCATTTACTGTCTGTAAGTTATTTATTTATTGTAAATATTTTAGCAGTGTCTTTTAAGAATTGGCAATGGCTACGTTAGGTGGTGGATGGTAAGATTGTTAAATTTATCACAATTAAGCAAATGAAAACTGGAATTTGAGTTACATATTCAATGCCAACTTTTGTTGCTCAGTTTTTTTCCTCCAGTTTCTTAAAAGTATGTATTTCTTTGATATTTACAATGTAGCTATGGACAGAGAAGGAGATGTATCTGAATTTATTTTATTAAAATTTTTGAACTAATGTCTTTGTGTGGTTTGTATGTGTTGCAGCCAGAAGGAATCCACACCTCTGGAATTAGCTGTACGTTTGCCCTTGTAGGTAAATATGCATTGTCATTCTTAATTAAGAGACAATAAATAAGATTTTTCATCTGATCTTTAGTTTTACCTAAAGGAAAACTAACCAATATCACAGTAAATTTTTACCTTTTAAAGTTCTTTGCAGTAAGCTTAAATCCAATCCACTGTACTGGGAAAAAAAAAGTGCCTTTTATTCTGTATTGTTTTACTGTGTGAGCAGATGAGCATCTTCTTGGATGCCCATTCTTCGTCATGTTAATACTGTTAAGGATGATCAGACTTTTACATCTTAATTTCACTAAAAGGGATAAATTTGAGGAGTGTGTGGTAAGTTAAGCAGTTCTTAGGTGGCATAAAGCAGAATCCAATATATTCGCACTTAAGAGGAAAAGAACAAAAAAAGTGTCCCCTAATTGAGTTGGATATTGAATGTGAAAAACAGACCTAGTAAATGGAACTGTGCTGCATTTTTGGGATTAATTTTTCAAAATAAAATTTAAAAGTCTATGGATAACTTTACATTTTGAAGTTTTAATATTAATTCTTGAATTTATGCAGTTACACTTGGAAAGTGCTGACATATCTTAAAGTTGTAAGCACTTTTCTCAACCGCTGATGTCAGCAAGAATTAAAAGAACCATAGTCTGAACACTTCTGTGCAACTTTTGGTGATTAACTTAATATTTTTTCTGGATTTCCCAGACTCTTGGTAGAGATTCACCAGACAGCTTGAATTTTAGATAACTTCAAAAAGATATTTAAAGTGTATTTTGTGCTTTACAAACATATTCTAAGATATTTCTCTTCTAGTGTATGAGAGATGTAGAGGCAACATGAAAGATTACAGAACACACGGTTAGCAAGTGTACAAAGCATTTATGTATTCTCTTAATACCACACTAAATTATGTGAGTAGTAGTGACACATAACTATTAAATTATAAGTATGCTTATCTTAGAGGTTCTGCAGTGGAAAGCAGTATTAATATAGCTTACTGCATATATTTCAGGACTACCCCAAATAAAACTGAAGGAGGGTGAAATTAAGAATGTTCTCACCTTTTAAAATTCCTGTATTTGAATTTGATCCTTCTGTTGGGGTGTCCAACCATGGGCCAAAACTATTGTCTTTACAGCAGAGGCTCATGCTGTTTCCCAGTGTTTGTCTACATTAGAGATACAAAACCAAACTCTTAATACATCATTTCCTGATACTGGGCTGGTAATCCTGATATTTATCAGTGATACTGATGTACTAAGAGTAGATTTAATACCTGTGCCCGTCCATCTTTGCTAG